GCATAAGTCACAGATGAATGAAAGAAAAATATTTGAATCTGAAAAGGATGAAATGAGTGGTGTAAATTACATTTAAATTTGTTTCTGTGCTTAATTAAGCAACATTCCAAGATGACATAGAGGGAAGTTGAGAAATAACCGTACACATTCATAACCTGAACACAGGCTGGAGTTGAGTGGCCTGCTTCACTCACTGGCTGCTTTACCACAGGATAAGTTGCACCCAGTACCCATTGAATAGGAAGCTGGATGGCCCCCAGTGCTGGTTTGCATGCTGTGGGAAAAAGACAAATCTTTTGCCATGACTCCTTGGTCATCCAGCCTGTAGCCTAGTGAATGTATTAGTTTTCCTGGCTTTGAAGTAGGTGAGGAATTTAGGACCACTGTATTTATTCATGATTTTTGCACTTCTGAATAAGAAGTTTAACCCTTTCGCGCGGTCATTTAAATTCCGCCGCCGTCTCTCCGGCAGTAATATATTCAGCCGTCCGTTTAAATTTTGCTTGAAAATGATTTATTCATCATTGTTCTTAAATTATATGAGATNAATGCAATTAACCCTTAACACGTGGACTTTTAAATTGCCGGGAGCCATCTGCGGCCAGTATTTAAATCACCCTAATTAATTAACATTGCAAACTTTCAGAAAAAAATACATATTTTCCGTTCTATGCAACGTAGAAATGTGAACTAAAAACAGTCTGAAAGACAATAAAATTTTCTACATATACTCAAAAGAAAAATTTTTACAAAGAAAATTAACTGTGATTATTTTGTCATGAAATGCACAAACCTTCAACCTTGAATCACGGTGGTATTGTAAATATAGTCACACTATATACAATAATATTTTGTTCAGACTGTACTCGAGTTTGAACTGTGTCACTTCACAGTTTACGATACACTGTGAAGCATGTGGCACTTCTCGAAGCAGTCCACCTCACACAGAGTGACACCACCCTTTTTACGATAGAAGAGCATGCTCCTGCTTTTCTTATTTAGTGAAACACATGACAACATCTTTGTTTCTCTTTGGTTGGCTAGTGTTGTGAATGTTTCACCTCCAGTCAACTCAGTTGGGCCCCCTGATAACTTTGGCCTTCCCCCGAGAAACGCCACTGACCATGATATTCGGCTTGTGGGATTGAAGACTCATCTTGAGGGAGGTTGGTTTTTAGCAAAATCAAATAAATTATGTTGATTGACAAAGCGACACTCTCACCTGTTGGTAATACTTGCAAAATAGTGATGCAGAGTAATTATAATACTAGTCGAAAAGAGTGCCAGTCTGACACTGATACCGAAAGTCGCAGTGGCAAAGATGCCTTTTACTCACAAAGTAATACTGGCTCAGTGGGTTTATACCTCTTCCGAGACACAAAATAAAAATGATATACATATAAAGAAATATGTGACAGTCTGACGCTGACTTTCTAACTGATAAAGAAATATTAGACAATCCGACACTGACTTCCTAACCGATAATTCGTCACTGGCGTGGCAGGGGAGCAGCTGTGTCAGGTGGTCGTTGCTGCGGTGATGTGACAGCACTTCCCGCAGTGACGTAACAAGGGATACCGCGGTTACTACACAGCAGTAAACAACTCTTGACAGTGTTGCTAGGCAACCTGTAAACACGGCATCATGCAACAGCGTTACCTACCACATAACTGTTTTATGCGTTGTCCGTGCCGAACCTAAATAAGGAGCAACGAACACTCTTCGGTAGTGAGGATTGAGCCAGTTATGAGTGAGTGAGTTACTAGTAAGTAACGATTAACCAGTCAGTTGAATTGCAGCAGTCGCCGAGTCGGGTTGTGTCAAGTGCATGGCAGTGACTACAGGAGAAGTATTTGTGATACTGCTGATGGCAGTAATTGTGAGACTGGAAATTGTGTGATTGTGAGAGCGAGTGTTCAATAAATTCGCTATATCAAATAAGGCGTGAAGTTACTTGTCGTGTGACATATACGCACCCGTGACAATATCATGGGGCATTTTCACAAAAGTGTCACACACTGGAATCACACAATGGAGTTTGTAGGGGCAAATATCAATATTTTACTGCGACATCACATTCAACTCTAATTCTCTGAATCAGAGGTATAAAGGCGCACTCTGAAGAGTAATATTCATATATTTTATGCACTTCAGTTTTTAGTATGATTTTCTGGGCTAAGAAGCATAAATTATGTAAGTAAACATTGCACAAAATGAGTAACTTTGTTATTCATAATGTATATGCTGCCTTTTGATGTTAGGATAGCGAGATCAAGGCTGGTACATTTGGCTAGCATGTGCCCAGGATATGTGAGACAAGGAATGCCTCAGGAATGTAGGAGGGAAGACCTGCTAGAAAACAGCCACATGAGGGTGGTTATAGGATGGCATTAAAATGGATCTTGTGGAGACAGGTTGTGCAGATCAGATTGTTCAAATTTATTGTCTCCCCAAAATTTTTTAAATGTGATTTCATCTTCTTTCTGTTTACCTGTTGAGGTCTGAATGTGAAATAGATCTTTCTGCAGTTCATTAAATTGGTTCATGCAAAAGTGTAGTGGCTGAGTACAGGTATTGTCTGATTTATGTCATTCTGAATGATTCTGTGTTGATATAGCATCATTGAAAAGTGGATGGTGTCTTAATTTTATGCTGTGTTGTGACTGATACAGCATTGTTTTGAATCAAGTACTTGAAAACCTGCTCTCTCTCTCTCTCCCTCCCCTTCTCCCTCTCTGTATGTTCTCTGTTGAATGTATAATGAACTGCTATTAAGAACTGTATAGTTGAGAGATAGTTAAAAGGGAAAGATGGTACTTTGGAAGACATGGAAACATTAATAGTGTGAATGGAAAATATATATATCATCAGAATATATATGAGTTTGTCTCTGATTACACAGAAGGCCATGTCAGGATAAAGTTTTGCAACAGTGTGACTGTGATTAGGGTTCATCTGCTAACCCCCACCCCAGAGCTGAGTTTAAGGCAAGCAGGGATGGGTTTTTTAGGTTAAAGTTATGTGCAAACCTTCACAGTGTCTGTCTGACCAAAGAGGCACCCAGTGCAGGTAACATTGCAGCTAAATTTCCAGCTGAACTCAAACATATTGTGTGAGGAAAGTGGGTAGTCTCCCAAGGAAGATTTTAGTGTTGATGAAGTGTTTCTGTGTTAGAAGAATGCCATTTTGCACATACATCCTCAGGACAGAACAGTGTCTGGCTTGTAGGCTGCCAAACATTGCCTTCCCCTTCTCTATGATGGCAGTGCAGAAGGGGATGTGAAGTTTACACACATGCACTCCAGCATACACGCTTGATTGCTCTTCTGCTTTTAACATTGAGTTTTTTAAATATTTCTAATACGTAATTAAGTGGAGTGTAATTTAGGTGAACAAGTTCTGATATTTTCCCCTGGGATCACATATTCCCTTTTGTAACATAGAAGTATTTTGGAAAAATATGACCAGTTTATTTTGTATAATTATTTGCCACTGTTTCTGGCAACACATCTCCAACATAAATGAGAGACTGGCTGTATGTATTTCATGTGAAACAAAGATAAATTAAACTAATCTAACATGTAATATAAATCCATATATTTATCACATCCATTTTATGTTTGTAGCCATTGGTGGGAAACATGGTAAAACCCTATTCATCTCGTGTTTGTCTAGTGGTGGTATTAATACATTAATAAAATGAAAAGTATTGTGTGTCCAAATTTGGTAATGGTAACTGAAATTGTAATAATGTGAAGACACTTCAGTCACTGTTGTTAATTAAAAGGTTGAATGCATGAGTAACATTTGTTTTGCAGGTGATCTCAGGCCAGTATTGTGAGTGTGACAACTTCTCCTGTGATTATGCCAATGGATTGTTGTGTTCTGGTCCAGATCATGGCACTTGTGTGTGTGGCAAATGTCAGTGCAAGCCAGACTGGACAGGTGAAGCATGTGATTGTCGAGCTTCTAGCATCACCTGTATCCCACCAGGCGGTGGAGAAATTTGCTCAGGCAATGGAGACTGCAAATGTGGGGCTTGTGAGTGTTATGAAGGGAAAGAAGGACGTTACACAGGAAAATTCTGTGAGAAGCTTCCAGTAAGTAGCAGAGATAGTTCTTATGGCTGAGAGATTTGGCTTTTAGATTAATCAGCCTTTGGGTTATGTGCTACTGATTAACAGTGTAACATTGTGAAGATTTTTGTACTTCTGTACATCATGTATTAGGCCATATTTTCTGTTCCACTTTCACTGATCATTTTATGTTTTCCTTTTGGCATCTCTTGTTTCTTTTCATTTGGGTCACTGCCTTAATGTAGATCTGGTTATCAAGTCATCCATTGCTGTGTTACATTTTTGTTTGTGGTTCTGCAGCTTTTCATTTAAAAATAATCAGCACAGTACAGCCTTTTACGCACGTTACAAGACAGTGTCTTTGCTGCCTCCATCTTCCTGGTGTCCTTTGTTTTGTTTCTCGGTTCTTAATTACCATTGTAAAAGCATATTTTTTGTATTCTAAAATTAATATTCTGTTCCATTATGAATACATAATTTTCGTAAATGTAAAATTCCTGCCAACTTGTTGTTTCAACATTAAATTATGTATTTTTAGGTTCTCAATTTTATGGAGGCTTTAATCACTATATTAAGAATTCATAATGGCCTAAAATGATAGTGTAGCATATTTTCACACTTTTAGAGGCTAGACACAAGGTTTGGATTGGTAATTGGGTTTATTGAAAACTCATAGATCTTAAGTATAAGTAAATACAGTCAACTCTCGATTATCCGGGGGTGGATTAACCGGTTTGCGGCTTAACTGGGGCTACCGAGGCTTTTTTAAGGCTTATATGTTGTTTAATATTCATTCACTTTGTTTCACATGGTGAGTTGTAACACTATTTTCGCACTAGTGTGAACCGAGCTCTGCATTCTTTGGTCCCGTTATGCTAACACAGTGTTCTAGGGTAGGGGTGAAAGAATGCAAGGATTTGTGGAAATTTTCAAGGACAGATACATCACCCCAGTTAGTATCTTTGTATCGATCTTCAAGTGCGTTAGCAAAATGTCAGGGTGTAAAAGGAAGCGTGTTGTGTTAAATATTCAACAGAAAAAGGAAAGTGCCACGAAAAAGTAAACGACAATATTAAATTTTTTAAATGTTAATATTCGTAAAACGTGTTGGATGTTGTTGAAGACTGTGATTGAAATAACTAATTCATACTTCAGTGTAATGTAAAAAATATGAAATAGGCCATGAGATGACATAAAAATGAGGTTGAATAAATTTAAATACAGGCAGGCCTATAGTATTGTGAAGGTACAGTATTACAGTACTACTTTTAATTAAATTTGTCTTAACTGGGTTTTCGATTAATTGTGATTTCCATCCCCACCATTATCCCGGATAATTGAGAGTTGACTGTATTAACAGTTTCATGGATCTACATGCTTAACAAATGTACAGCACACACAAGTCTTCTCAGTTTGTCTTCACTAGCTGTTGCTTGGTTACCATCTTCACTATGCATCATTAGGTTACGGCTGCTAACCATGTTGGTTCTTCATAGCCAACCATGCACTTACAGCTCATAAACTGTGCCTACCATCTGTCAACTCAGGACTGAGTAACTCTAGTCAGAGTCAGAGTCAAAGTTATGTTATGGCCAATGGTCAGTTGACCAGTTTAACTTAGTGTGGAGCCCCCATCTGGGACCCAAGACCAGATTTTTGTTGCTGTCAGACAGTTGCAGGTTTGTTGATGTGAGGCCCCCCTCTCTGACAAGAGGATGTGTCTGACATTTACGCTTACTGCTGGCTCTCACCAGTGCACATTCTCGGGTATGAGTCCCACTGGGCTCATGACCATGTTTTACTCTCTTAGGTTCAAGACTCCCCAAACCTGGAGGGCCAGGTCCTCATATTTATATCCCTGAGGAACAGGGTGGCCCAATTATACCCCCAGGCACTGGGTTCCCTTTTCATTGCCTCCTACAACTTGCAGGGCTACAGTGGAGGTATTTGAACCTGCCTCCACGTGGGGAACAAGACTGACTAAATCTTATCACCTGTTCTCATCATATAGCTTCAGCATTGACCACAGAGAACAGCACTGACCATATAGAAAATGCTGCCTCACGTGTTGTTTAACAGTTGTAGCATAGCAGCAGCTGCACGTTTAATAACATCATTGCATGTTTACTCTGCCATAACCTAGCAACTGCTGCCTCGGTTATCCTGTAACGATATTTTTATTTTAGGCATTTTAGAACCTCAAAATATATACATTTCTCCAGAAAAGTTCATATACACAATTATCTCATTTTAACCAGTGATAATGCAGGAGTTTGTAAGGGAATTAATAGTTATTCACTAATATGTATATTACCTACAGATCATACTGTCAAGTTAGAAGTCACTGCACTAAAGAAAAAAAATGTAAGTGCTATTGTGAACAGAGTGATAGAAATTATAATCTCTATTGTAGAACCTTTGAATGGACATGGTATCTGTGCAGTCTGGTTCTGAATTATGACTGTATTCAGGAATGAATTTTGAGTATTTCTAGTGCTTATTGGGACAAAATTTGCTTTCTGTTTTGAACCAAAAAAATGTCACACTACACTTCATTTCCCAGAAGAGGAACTTTGTATTTTTTCTCCATCTGACAAGGTTTTTTGGGTACAACAGAATTGTATCATTTATGACTACTGAAACGCAGAACCTATGCAAGTATGTGCTATGGGAAGGTCGCCAGACTATTATTGTTGTAAGTGCCTTGGTGAAAGAAGATGAGAGGGGAAGCCCTGGTCACACTTCTGCAAGCCTATTGCATCAATCTGCCACATGACACTGTGCTGTGAAGATGCATTGCTTTTACAAGAGTGCTTTTTCAACTTCATGTTTCGTTTCATCTGCGATGGCTAGCAAAATTGAGCAATGTGTCTGCATGAAGTTTTGTGTGAAGCTCAGTAAAACAGCTACCGAAACCCTTGAACTACTTCATGAGGCTTTTGGAGAACATTCTTTAGGCCAGGCAGCAGTTTCTGAAGGGTATTCATGTTTTGAGGCCAGTCGAATGTCAGTTGAAGATGACAAACTTTCAGGGTGAGCAAATCACCAATAAAATGACAGAAAATGTTGAAAACATTCAAGAAATCATCCACGAAGACCGTCAGCAACAATCCATGATCTTGCAGACACAGTTGAGATCAGTTATGGAATTTTCCAGGAAATCGTAACAGAAAGTTTGAATATTCACTGCACTGATGCAAAATTTTGTTCCCCTACTCTTCACAAATGATCAGAAGGAGTGCGTGTAAATGTGTGTTTTGAGCTATGAGAGAAGGCTAACGAGGACACAACTTTTATCTGTAGGATCATCAGATGACAGAAGTTTGATTTATGGTTATGATCCAGAAACAAAGCAACAGTTGTCACAGTGGAAGAGCCGACAATCACCAAGAGCAAAAAGGGTTTAGCAGGCCCAGAGTATAACAGAGAGCATGCTCATTGTTTTGTTTTGATGTGAAGGGGATTGTTCACTGTGAATTTGTTCCTCATAACACAACAGTCAACTCTGACTTTTACTGTGATGATTTATGATCCTTGAGAGAAAATGTGTGAAGAAAAAGCCTGAAACTGGGGTGCAACCACAACTGGCTTCTTTATCACAATAACACACCCACCCACATGTCCGTCAAAACCACAGAGTTTGTGACTAAAAACAACATGGTTATCATTCCCCATCCTCCCTACTTGCTGGTCTTAGCCCCCTGTCTTTTGCTTTGCTTCCCAAATTGAAAATGAAACTGAAGGTTGACATTTTGAAACAGTGTCTAACATCCAAAGGGAATCACAAGTGATTCACGACAGCATTAAGGAAAATTACTTCCACAGTGCTCTTGAAGCTTGGAAAAAATGATGGGATTGCTGTATATGTACATTCCCAAGGAAACTATTTTGAAGTAGATAGCTGCCATAATTGAGTAAGTTAAGCCAGCATTTCTTTTTTGACCTTTGACTTTTTGATACACCTTGTATGACAGCTGACTGTTATATCCATGAAATATGAGACACTGTGGCCACATAAGCTGATGCTGTCTTGGGGAATTCGCTGGCAAACACAACATGAAGTGCTTTGTAAATAGAGCAGGTTCCAGAAGATTCATGATGCAGAAACCAGTTATTATCACATTGAGTTATACTGTTACGTGTTAACATTTCAGAGCATGTGGTATACCATTATACCTGAATTCTGTGCTTTGTAACTAATTAAGCAATAAGAGTGTTTGAAACTGTATTTCTTATGCTGTTACAATCACCTGTTTCAGTTGCCATTTGAATACTGGTTGTGTTTTTTAGGCATTGTAGCTAATATTGAAACTTCAACAGTATAATTACTAGAATGGGCTGCTCTTGAGAACAAACATTTCTCTTTTTACCACTTTTTATTCACATTGACTCTTATGAGCTTCGAGATTTATAATAATTTTGAAAAAAAGAGGACACCAGGATTTGAACCTGGGAGATTCATTTTGGGGGAAAGGCACTAACTCATTGTTTTAGAGATGTGTACAGAATTTCATATTTTGATTCAGTCTGAAAGAGCCCTTCATTTACAGTTACTTTTTCTTTCACAGACATGTGACATTCCTCTTAAACTGCTAGTTGTAGAGAAGTCAGATTTGATGTAAAGTCACTTCACACCCCCTACTACATGTTCTCTGCAGGAATTATTGCATGACATTTATGGATTGAAAATTTATAGCAGTTCAGGAATGTGCTATGTCTTGAATACGTTGCACGGAAATTCAAATTGCCCTCTGGACTAGAACTGAAAATGGTTGGAAAAGAATTTCTGTTATATTCATTATCTCCGTATGTTTGGGACTCTGTTTCTGCCATAATCATTCCCCAAGACCAATTAGAATGTGATAGCAGAAATAGTTTGCCAGTGTGATAACTGAGAACAGTACTGCTAGACACTGATTTTGAGCCACTAATAGTAAGCAACATTGCCCCCCTCCAATGTCCATATTAGACACATTCAGACAGTACTTCCTACATATATACTGAATGTGGCTTTTGCTCTCTGTCTTTCTCTCTCTCTCCAACCACTCTTTCAGTTGGGTCAAGACACAGGAGAGTTGTGTTGCCATTGGGTTCATGAAGAATAGAGAGCAACAAGTAATCAATGCAAAATCTAGAAATGAGAGAAAAACACACATTACAGCATTAATTTTTTGAGAAGGACTCTCATTAAAACTGATAAATATTGCTATGCATGTCTTAATTAAATTGACAATGCATAAGAAACTGTTATGTGTAACACTCATTGTACTGTGTACTTGTAATGCTTGGATTTTCACTGTGGTAATTTTATACCCATGTTGATGCTATGCTTAGAGCACCTCTGGAAGATGCCTGGAATTTAAAGATTGTGTACAATGCCAGATGTACAAGACGGGGTCTCTCACTGCAGAGGAATGTTTAGGCAATTGTACTTTCACACCTAGCTCTGTTGATGTCATAGAAGGTAAGATAATTCAAATAGTTCTGACCTATTTTAGAGTGAGCGATTCTGTTTTGTAGTTATGATTTGTTTGTACACACCATACTCATTAGTACTTACTCATCTTTCGTTTTTATGCTTATGTTATGCATTATCATGTGAAATTACTTATTATATCACTACCTGCACAATTGCAATAGGTGCTTACATTATTCATTATTGTTTGTTCATAATGTTGTCATATTTAGAGTGACTGTAGACAGGGTTTGGATTGGTGACTGGATTTTTTAACCACATACAGATTGTAACTACAAGCAGTTATAATGCTCTCGCTAATTCATGCACTTGTCTTCTCACTACAGTGCATACTAAGTCATCTTAGTTTGCTTTCACTAGCGGTTTCCTGGTGACAGATGTCCATACTGGCTGGTGAGTCTCACAGCTGACTCATTGCTCCAACTGCCTAACTCCCAGGCTGGCAGCCATCTCTCACCAACCTTCTATTCATCTTACTGACTGACCGACTGACTGCATTTTCCAGCATATCCCACTTAACAACATCTTGAGACACACCGTGTAGAAAACATTACTCTTTATTGTTTTAGTTCAGTTATTTTCCATGGGAATATGTTTGTTTGTGAAGGCATTAGTCAGTAACAGCTCTTGTATATTTACTTATCTCATGGTCGTTGCCCAGAAATGGGTCTACACACTGCAGTATAGTATGATGAATATGATGCTTCTGCCTCCCCACTGCAGTCCAGGAGCTGCTTGCATTGCCTACACTGTTGCCTTTTACTTGTAGGATTTGAGGTTCTGTGCCTATTAAAGTCACATAGACTGCCTCTTATGAGAGAGGGACTATTAAAGGCACCAAAGGAGCACTGGGTTCCTGTTGATGATTCATTGTAGTCTTTGTTCTGTGCCTATTAAAGTCACATAGACTGCCTCTTATGAGAGAGGGACTATTAAAGGCACCAAGGAGCACTGGGTTCCTGTTGATGATTCATTGTAGTCTTTTCATTGAAAACATGTTTTTAAAAATGTCTTACAGTCATGATAAGTTCCATAATTTTGTTGAGATTGTCCCACATTTGTCAGTAAAGACTATTAATTATGTTGAGTTTTGTATGAAGCTAAGTACTTTATATCTGTATACAAAACTGCTTGGAGTTTCTGTCAGCTGTCCTTTGTGTTTCAGTTCATGAGGAGGCTGGAGAAGTACTATGTGCTTATTTTGATGAAGAGGACTGCCTTTTTGCATATGTGTACACTTACTCTGATAATAATACTCTCATAGTAAGAGCACAGGAAGAGCGGGAATGTCCCCCGGAAATCCATGTTCTTGGTATGTACTTGTCACTTGCATTAACCTTTATAACGTCCGAATGACACATACATATATGATACAAGCAGCAACCGGAGTTGGCCAAATGGCACATATATGTGACGCAGTACACATGCACTCTTTGGGAGTGCTGACAGTTTGACCTTGGGTTTGAAACCAAAACAAACCTACGTGAGGTCATGTTAGTGGTTTTCCTTAGCTCTGAACAAAGAAATCGTTTATCTCGGTCCTGGTTTCAAAACTATTTATGTTTATATATGACTGTTTATGACTGGTCAGCCAAATATAGCCCAGCTTTGTTCTGAGAACAATTCCATCCCGTGTGACTGGTGAAGTTTTTCTTATTTCAATTCTTCATGCCCTTACATATTTCGGTCCTTAGAGACCATCATAAGAGGGAATGAAGAACTGAAATAAGAAAAACTTCACCAGTCGCACTGGATGGAATTGTTTTATCTTTCATAAAATTTATCATGTTTATTTAACTGTTCAAAAAACAAGTCTTTGATGCAAATATGTTCATCTGCCATGTAGTGGTTCTTCCCAGTACCATTACCAGCAGTACTCATTGTCATCCCTCTTGCAGTTGCCATTACATTAGAGGCTATTGAAATTGTGGTTTTGTTACAGTATATGAATTAAAGATTTTTCATTTATCAGTACCCTGGGTTGTCTAGGAAAGCTCCAATGCACAACTGAGCAAAAATATGTTGCTTTAACTTTATATTGGGTTTTTGTAAAAGTTTTCTCATGTAACTACATAGTACATCCAATTTCCTGTGCATGCTGGATAATGAGGAGTTTACTATAATTGTATTTGCCCTAATTTAATGTACCTTCACATATGCAGGTCTCTCATTATTACATGTCATATTTTAGAGGATGGTTTCTGGACATTGACAAGTAAAAAAATAGTAAAAATATGTATCTTGAAGGCTTTCCTTAAAAAGTTATAACCCTTTGAAAATGCCAGCTCCTGTCATTGCTTTCTGAAAAGAGTAAACATTCTGAGAGCATTTTGTTTATGTCATTTGGTGAACACAGAGATCTATTTGCCACCAAACTTCATGTTGATATTTACAATACCCGCCATTCTTACTCCAAATATGTAATACTGCAGTAGACGGACTCATACATAGTACATTTTGAGTCAGTCTGAAGCAATCTGAGCTTGAGAAAACAAGTTGTGTATCTATCCACCATGGAAAATGTCTGTTCATTTATTGAATTATCAGAGGTATATCTTGTGCTAGGAGTGTGCAGTGGAAATGCTAGAGATGCTGTTACAAGGTACAAAGTACCATAATTGGAGATTTCGGAATTTTTGTACTGTCCTTGTCATGTTGACCACTGACTCCAAGAGATGGGAACATGCAGTTGCTTTAATTTTCTGTGAACATGTGCACTATTAGAAGATGTGTCATTCAGTACATGTCTTCACATGAGGTTTCAGCTTTATGGTGCTCCACTACATTACCTTCATGAAATGCCTCAATGACTGTCTGAAAATTATGCTGGATAGGTGACAGATGTGAAGCTCCAGTTTTCTGGCCTGCACACTCACCTGACTTCAGTCCTCTAAAATTTTTTTCTGTCATAATGTATGAAAACAAAATTCTAAACCTGTACAATTGATACAGTGGTGTCAAGATTCAACAATTTGCAAATGAAATTAACATGAATAACTTTTGAATGCTTGTGAGGTTCTTTTTCATGCAACGAGTTGCATGTATGGAACATGGGGGCCATTTGAAGCACATCTTGTAAGACAATAAAAATTAAGATGTTATTAACAGCACCTAAATAGTTTTCTTCTTATGCACAACCTATTAAACTTAGGGTCTCTTCAAGGCGTGATGATGAAAGGTGAAATTAGAATAGGTTAATTTTTGAAAGAAGACCCACAGGGTACATATATGAATGTTTTTACTTGTTTTGATGTTCAGAAACCATTATATAAAATGTGGCATGTAATAATGAGACATCCATGTTTCACATCTTTTTCTCAAAAGGTGAAATTGAAGAAACATGTGTACACTAAGTTGTACAAATTTTTTAGAAAGTAAATTTTCAGCGAATACTGACATCACTTTTGTGGTTGATTTTATAGGTATTGTATTGGGAGTCATTGGAGCCATTGTTCTGATTGGGTTGGCCCTGTTGCTACTGTGGAAACTATTGACAACTATTCACGATCGCCGTGAATTTGCGAAATTTGAAAAGGAGCGCATGATGGCCAAGTGGGACACAGTGAGTTTAATTGATGTTCTCATAGATTTATTGAGTTCCACCTTGTGATATTCCATATTGGTGGATTATACAGGTAGATGTTATATAGGCTGAGCCAAAGCATGATTTTTGTGCTGCTTGTAATCATGTACATTTTCTGCTTATCTTGATGAGTCAGCAATAGTGGTAAGAGGAAATTGATACTCTCTTATGGTATCACATCAGGCTAAGTCTTGTGCAACACTAGATTTTACTGTGTAGGACATGGAAAATTTTACACAAGAGTATAAGGTGATTTTATATGAATCTTATATGCAGCGTAATCCACTAAGAGTCAGAGGCAATTCAAGAGTTTCCCACAGAAACACTATATAAAATTTTATCAATCAAATAAGTACAGTTTGTGTATTAGTAAAATAAAAGCAAAATTTTGCAAAATGACCCTGTGTCAGTTGCTGACAGCAGTATGCTGACCCTGTGCGTGGTCATAGAACTCAGACCCTTGGCATTTATCCCAACTCTTAAATCTGACAGGGACTAGTTTCCATCATCTTGTCTTTATCTAAATACTGCCCTGTTTATTTTGAAAACATTTTAGAGACTGGATTCTTTCTCCAAAACATGTTTTGAAAAATAAACAGGATGGTTTTTAGATAAAGGCAAGACAATGGATAATGTCCAAAACCATAATATTTCTACTAATGTACCATTGTCACAAACTTTTAGATCTTATTGACAGGGACTACTCCTGCATGACTAGTGATAACTCATTATAGTAATAAGATCATGGAACATATGAGAAACCATCATCTTGTGTGAATCTTCTGATTGCTAAGTATTGTTTCTGATGCTATAGATACACCCTTGACCACCTTGTAAAATGAATGTCATATCCGTGATTCTCTTCCCATCCACCTCCACCTTGTCACTGTCTTCATCCTGTAGAAGCATTTATAACACCATGTAGTGATTCAGTAGTCCAAGAAATCTCTACTGGTGGAGATGAAGGGATCTACTGCCACTTTTTTCAGGCTTCCCCTGTAAGTGTTACTTATGTGTTCATTTTGGCATGTTATCTCAAGGAAAGGGAATGTGACAGGGACTGGTTTTAAGTGTGACCCTCTTTGGAATCACAATTAGTGGGATGATTAATGCACTTGGTCTGTCTCAGCATCACTGTATATTGATGATAACACTTACTACTACAGTAGACTATGCTGTAGCTCAGGCAGTTAGTCAACAGCTTTCTACCACAGCAGCCCAGATTCTATCCCTGGTCAGGTTATGTGGGATTTGTGGTGGACAAAATGGCACTGGGGACAAATTTTCTTCAACTATTTTGGTTTCCCCTGCTAATTCTCATTCATATTACTGCTCCACATTCATTAATTATCCCATCACTGATGTGATGTACTGTCAGTACTCACATCATTAAATAACTAACCAAAATGTGACTCGAGAATTGTCACAGAATTCTGGCTACATATTACTGTAAACTATCACATTGGGTTGCAGAGAATGAGTTTTCATTGTCTGCAACAAAGACCTAATGCATACACACTTCTCATACTTGCAGAGTTTATCCCCCTCCCGGTCTGTTCCGTAGCAGCAGTGCTGTGCCATTCACTGTCAAGTTTCTAGGCATACATGATGGTAAAATCACAGGAACATCATGTTTGATGACCCATTGTTAAATGTATATGGTTATGTAACATTTTAGATCGCATTAAGTGGAGGAATTGTTTTGAAAGAGACTGTGGACCTGTCGTTTTGACAGATTACTGATGATGATGATGTAACATTTTAACAGCTTAATATGACAGATGTTGGAGTGGAAACTGGATGGTGATGCTTCAACACTACCATGCCCTGATATGCTTTAAAATAGATGTGATAGACCGGCAATCATAGATCCTGTCCATAACACTGAGATTTATTGTAATACTGGTGCCTTCCATACCAGTATTCTGCAAAATGTGTATTCAGAATTTGGATGACCTCTGCTTGCCTTGCTGAGCAATCTGCATCTGTGCAGCACAGCTCCTTCACGCTTATTTTGGTGAGACTTTTCACTGAACCCTCCACATCAGGAGCTGCATCCTTTGAGCATATGCCTTTACTGTCTTCTTGAATGTCCTGACATAATTGCCATGTATTATTCCCAGTAGATTTGCACCTATTCTACCTAGATCTATCATGCAACAGGCCTGTGACTTCAGAGCTCAACCAATATGTGAAAGGCCTGACATCAGCCCTTACATATCAGCAGTACTTTGCTGAAATTATTTTCAAATCTCCAGACTATGCAACAGTTTATAGGGACAGGTTGTGGCTTCATGTAAGAAGAATAGGTTTTCTCTTACAACCTCCTTGGATTTAATGACATGTATATGGCCAAACTTCATGCCTTATGCTGAACTCTTCTAATTGTCAGCAACCTTGGCAGTCGTATCATTGGCATCAAGCTTCCAAAGTAAAGCTGTCACTGTAACAGGCCATGAAGGCCCGTAGGATTGTGAGACATTGAGGCTCCCACATTTTCTCTAGGCAGTCGGCTCACAGATAGCAGTAAGTTTGTCAGCCTTATGTGCCAGCTGCCTTTTACCTCCCAGGAAGATTCCTCGTACTCATTTCTGTTAGAGGCTGAGTTGACCCCAAGGCCATAATGCAGCTGGAAGGGTTAGGTAAATTGAAAGAATCCACCATTCTGGCATGTAGCATAGTGCCTCAACCAGCTACAGTACCATGTGCCCATCAGCTTCCAAAGTGCCTTGCAAAGTTTCCATGGAAACATGCCTGCCATCTGTCGTTTTGGAGATTCTGCAGTGAGTGTTCCATCTCCATAAGGCAAGGAAGTCTTGTGTTTTATTGGATACCTGGCCTCGCAAGTCTGCTCAGTATTGATGCCACTAATGGACTGCCACAGAAGTCACTGTGCTTTGGAATTTAACATCAGACCAAGCCTTAGATGATGGTGTTTTCTCCTTTATTCTTCAAGCAGTTATATCATTATGTGAAGGTGGACAGACTGAGGTACAAAAGAACAAATTATGAGTTGTGAAGTTTACAGATGTGGTGGTCTTTTAGCTCTCTCTGACGAAGGAGGTCATGCTTGCATGACTACAGATCAGTCACATTTGCTTGACATATTTATATTTGTTGCTTAAAGGGACAGTACTCATTTATAATCAGCATTGGGAATATCTTACCGCTTACGTATACTTGCTGAATGCCAACTTTATTACGAAGAACAGATCAGTCACATTTGCTTGACACATTTATATTTGTTGCTTAAAGGGACAGTACTCATTTATAATCAGCATTGGGAATATCTTACCACTTACGTATACTTGCTGAATGCCAACTTTATTATGAAGAACAACATATGTTCCATCTTCATGGCACATTATGAGGCATTCTTGGGTATGGTCATCAGAGCACGTTGAATGTTGTGGAATTTGTAAACAACATTTCATTCTCAAGTTGTTTCAACTAATGTTTTAAGATAGTTGAAAGTTATTAACTTATTCTTTTCCCTATTGTGCTTTTGAAAGTTATTAACTTATTCTTTTCCCTATTGTGCTTTACCCTCATGTTATTTTTAGAAATTTGGTGATAGGCCCCTATACAGCGTGGCATTGTTAACACTTTTTAGTTTTATATTAGTGTGCTAATAAGTATATTTTGTCTATGTTCTTTTATCAGAATAATTTACGGTCAGATGACAGTTTATTGTATTTTATCCTTATCTGAAAATGGACTGCCTCTGTCATGTAGTGGTCAGAGTTCCTGGATACAGATCCAGAGGTCCGGGTTCAATTCCCTGCTCTACCAGATTTTTTCTGAGAAGTAGTGAGTCTGGAACGGGGTCCGCTCAGCCTTGTGAGGATAATTGAGGAGCTATTTCAAGGAAATGGCGGCTCTGGTCTAGAAAACTTAATTTAACGGCTGTGGGGATTCGTTGTGCTGACCATGCAACACCCCTTACTAAAGTTGGCACTAAAATTCACCGACAAGCCGCTTGGTCGGTATAGTTCGCTTGCAGACTAAAATGACTGAGTTTTTATGTGAAAATGGAAGTTCATATGGCAGATAGTATTGGGATGATGGTCTTCTGGGGCATGGTGGTAAGTTCTCCTGCAGTGTGGGTGGCTCTATGCAGGGCTGTGTAGAATTGCATCCTGAGGTCCTGTCATGTCATAGTCGATTTTTACTTAGTGGTTTAAACGGACGCAGATATCCTTAGAAGCTGACTTGGCTTTCAGGCACATACATTCATGCACACACACGTGCACACAACAGACGTAATGAAGTGTTGACTAGTTGCTAATATAAACATGAAACGTGATATTTAACAAAATCAAGAAATTTGATATCTGAATGTATCTTTGAAAAATGTTTTATTCTGTCTTTATTTTAGTTTCAGTATGTATTGCTGGGTGGACAGTTGTATGTTCTGTTGTACTGTACTTCAGGTAATCATTATGTGTATTTACAGGGTGAAAATCCAATTTACAAGCAAGCAACTTCCACCTTCAAGAACCCAACATATGCTGGAAAGTCGTGTTAACAGTCTGAAGAATTTAACCCTTTTACTTCCAGGTGCATACGCTGAGTCTCAAAAATCAGTTTGTTTGACTCATAAAAAGTAGCTGTAAATTCAGTTCTAAACATGAGTGAGAAATAATGAAAATGATATATATATATACCATATAATGGTGCTATGTCAAATATAGTTTCAAACACAAACTGAGTAAGCTTTGTATATGTAGAATATTTTATGATGTATGGCTTTTAAGCCAGTTCTGATGGTTGGCAAATTGAGGACTTTCTTATGTAGGCACTTAGGAATGATGAGGGTTAAAGCAGCTCCTTAGGCTGTGAAAAGCAGTGCAGGAACGTATTGCAGGCTGTAACAATACATTTAAAGAATCACAATGAATAAGTAGGCACATGAAATAGTATGCCATAAGTGTTGACGGTTCCATGTTTGTGATGATACAACTACTTACAGTCAGGTACAGGTAGGAGCGCTACTTTTACCCACTATATAGTTCTTCTGACCACTTCTAACAGTGCAAGTCAGTGTTCTTTCATGTCAGTCAGAAGCTTCATGTTAGTGCTAAGGGTGACAGTGTCATGTCCTCTCATAGCACCACTGCCGTTTCTAACACCACGTTGACTGTTTGCCAGTTATAGTGTATGCGTAGCCTCCAGACACTATTTAAGAAAAACATCTTTTTACAAAGAAGAAATCACAACTCGTAAACTAATCCACTTGTCTAGAGAAGTTAAATGCTGGAGTGTACAGGAATATTCACATTTATGCAGTCACTAGCTTGCTTTCTCTATTACTGAAACTTAATCTGTCTCTTTTTGTACCTAAAACTTTGTCACTGATAATAATTTTACTGCTTACTACTTTATTTAAGTACTGTCATAATTAATCTTCATCCATGTTGAAATGACTTGTAAGTAATTCATTCTTTAATTTGTTGAAGGTATGATAAAATTTATTGATTCTGTCTGTCATTATCCCTCAATTTAATTTCATTATTCATGGTCTTGTATGTAATATAGATAAGAGTTATTAGAACTACTCAAGAGTTTGTTGTATATACAGCAGTGCAATCTTTGGGAATAATCCGTGTAGGATGTTGTAAATTTCCTGTAACCACAAACATTGTAGTTGCCTTCTTCAGGAAGAATATTCATAGGGAGGTTTAGAAGCCTGGCAGAGGGCAGTCAGTGGGAGATCATGGCATGATCGGACGAAGTAGAGGAGTGGGATGCTATCCAGTAGGTAGCGGTTGTATGGTTGAGGAAAAGCTATGATAAAGGAGATGGTGAGGAAGAAATGTTTAGCAATTGTATTATGAGGAAAAGGGGTGAAGAAAAATTTTAGGGACCACATGGTTAGGAGAAGAGGTGGTGCAATAGTTTCATTGACTCTGATTAAGAAAGGATGTAGTAAAGTTTGATTTGTTTGTTGATGTAGTAAAATTTTTTTTTGTGACAGTGTGGTTAAGAAAAGTTGTGATGAAGGAAGTGTTAGCAGCTGTATGGTTAGGAGGAGAATGATGAATGATGTTTAGGAAAAGTTTTCATGGTCGTGTGGATAGGAAAGAAGAAGAAGATTAAATGTTAATGACCATCTGATTAAGGGAGTCAATGGAAAAGATTTTGGTGAACACAGAAAAAGTGGAAATGTTTCAAGATTTTACATGGCTTAGTCTTAGAAGCTGAAATTATATGTTCAACTTCAGCCAGGAAAATGTAAGGACAAGAACCTGTACATTACTAACAGTAATGTGAAAGGTATAGAAAGCTTTCATTAGCGAAGGACATAATTTTCTGATGGTGGTTTGAAAGTGAAAACTGAAGAATGATTTTATATGTAGATGGTCCATGAAATGCTGTTAACACTTCCTAGCACATACTTCAGCCAGTAAAACAGTGGAAGATGGTGCCATGTTTGAGCCTGGCATGCTTTATAACATTACATTTTGTATTGCAATTGTTACAGCCTGTATACACAGTTTAGCTTTGTTTTTGTCAATATACAACTATTTTTATATATTTTTAACAATATAATTTATTTTAAATGCTTTAACTCATCACCTTGCTAATAAAGACCACATGTCAGGAACTTTGGTAAGTCTATAACAAAGAGTACATAATTCTGTACCAGCAGACAAGAATATGTACATTTTGTTGTTCTGAAACAGCTAGGAGAGGTCGCAGTCTTGCATACATTTCTGGGGGTTTGGCCATTGCTAAAAGGAGAGTGGACTGTCTTTTTCTTTTTGTGGCAAATTAACTATAGAATCTCCTTTGTGGATTAGAAGAAGCATTGTAGAGATGCAGTGGGTGGAACAACCAGTATGTATTGGGTTAACTTAGATCTTGAATTTCTATGATTTCCTTTAGCCACGTTCTTGGTCAGAAAGCATGGCATGTCTGTGCTGAGCTGGAGGATGTTAACATGTAAGATTTGAGGCTTTCACGGCGGTGACTATGAAGAAAGCAGTCTTCTGGGATTTGGCACCATGTATATGTGGTGTTAACCGACGTTTCGGAGGAACGTATCACCCCCCTCTTCAGGGTTGAAGAAGTATAAGTAAATCTGCAAGCGACAACACCGTGAGACACGGTCAAGCAGACTGCGGTCTGCTTATACTTCTTATACTTATACTTCTTCAACCCTGAAGATGGGGGCGATACGTTCCTCCGAAACGTCGGTTAACACCACATATACACGGTGCCAAATCCCAGAAGACTGCTTTCTTCGATGTAAAACATGGTTAAAAAATGTGCACAGTCACTGAAATTAATGTTTTTAGTACCTGTCTTCATTTAGTATAGTTCAAAACTTGTCTTAGGCTGGTACTTGAATAGACAGTCATGTCTATATGTGTTTTGTGTAACCAAAACATGATTTGGCCATTTTCTGCTGATAAACTTGGGTTCTCTGCACCACGTTGAATGCTTCTAAATTTAAGCAAAAGTAAGATGAGATTTAAGTTTGTAAATAGACAAAATCCTTTCAGCCCAATCAGTATCTTTGAACTGAGACTTCAACACTGATTTCCCATTCAGTAAGAAGTGAAAGAGGCATACTGATTATTAGGCGAAGTTCAGAAAGTTAGGAGTACGCGGTAGTTTTAGAATTATAATAATGTGTTTGTGAAAATTCTACCCTGTGCCGGTCCACCATTGCTTAAATATTGTAAAAATTCTAGAGAGATAATTCTATGGAAGAGAAAGATGTTAAGTTAGTGTCTGTGTTCAAGATATGCCTTTTAATAATAGATTACACATTAAATCAGTTTGGCGGCCAAAGATGTTAATGCCAGATTTTTGTATTAATCTATTAATCCCAGTTATCCATTTTACATAAAAAAATGTGATCTGCTTGCCTTGAAGATACCACTGAAACATGTAAACAGTCGAGTCACTATTTGTATGTAATGTTGCTGTTCCACTTAGCATGATCATTATATGTCAATGCTACAAAAATTTAACTTATTGAAAGTTTATAACTACATAGAGGGCTTGAAAAATATTGTTACCTGCTTGCATGAGGTGATTTACTACTAGACTACATTAACTTCAGATGTGGAAAATATACGAATGAATTTAAGCTATTGTGGTGGGGGTAGGAGTGGGTTTCTGCAGTGAGCGTATGGGTCATTGCTTTCCCCTCTCTTCTCGGTAATCAGCTGTTGTATCACGAGTGCTAATACTTCCCCAACCAGTTGAAAAATTAATGTAGGCAAGCAGTATGTTGTGTTTGTTGATCAACACTGTATGCAAGTCATTTATATTAATGAGCTTCATTTCCATTTTTCTCCTTCTGTGTTTCCCTTTTTTTTTTCTTTCCCCTTTTACATATGAGCTCATGAGTGTACTTTAAAAATGTAGCATGATTCAAATTTTTACTGTTATATTTTATTGCTCTTGTGCAGAAACTTGCAAATATCTCAGTGACAGTGCCCAAAAGTATCTTCAAATGCATGCCACTTTAAAGTGACAACTTTATTTTTTGTAATGGCATAGTTTTTCAAGCCCTGGCTAAGTATATATCTGCTGCCAGTATATAACTTCAGAAAGTGATGTTACTGAGTGTAAAAAACATATAATTGCATCTGGTTGTATTGCAGTTGTATTGATTTCCATTATCACAACTTTTGGCATAGGTATGCTATGTGTTAATATGAAGTACACCTATACAAAAAGTTGTGCTGAAGGAAACCAATGCAGTTTGTGAATGTGTTCTGTAATTTGCAGAAAGATAGTATATGAACTCAGAATTACTGGGTTTTCAGATGGTCTGGTATTCTAAAAACTAGACAACATGACATTTTGGAAACTGGATCTGTTTCTGTACGCTGATGAAGGGGGAAACATGTACTCTGTTAGTTCCTTTAGAAGGAGCTAACCTCAGTCACTGGACAACCCGTGTCAAGTTCACTACAGGTATTTAAATACCTGAGACATTGCTATATTGAAAGGATATAACAGGAAAATATGCAATAAAATCTGTGATAAAGCACACACATTCATGGAACTAGGATAGAAAAGGAGGTAGAAATTTGTGCTACAAACCTAGCCAACAGATCAAGTCCATGAACATTAGGGCATACAATTAAATGGAGAATTTATGAAAACATAATAGTGTGTATCACTAGCGCCATTTGTGTAGTTAAACCTGACCACTTGAGACAAAAACCTAATAGAAACCCATGAAGAATCTGTCAGATAATACAGATTGTCTCTGAGATGGTAATCTCATTGCTGATAAGGGGATCCAGATGGGAGAAGTGTCCAAACTGGGTGGGCTGATTGGATTGGTTGAGCACGCCATATGGGCTGATTCCTTGTATTTCCTGTACCTCCTGTGGCTTTCACTTTCCAAAGTCCTAGCTTCATCCAAACCTATCGTATGACCTTTTTCATAGGCATGTTGGGCTAATTCTGATTTTGCTTGAAGACCCTCTTTGAGATTGGGCCTGTGTTCAAGAGCTACACAGCTAGAAGAGTGCCTGTTTTGCCAAGGTAGCTTCTGCCACATTCACAGGGAATGCTATAGATGCATTGTGTCATCTGTTGCGGATCTCTTCTGGCCTGGTTTTCTTGAGTGAACTCCTAAGAGAGTGTTTAGTTTGAGGATCATCATTATGCACATACATTTGAACAAAAGAATATACACAGAGCCCAGAGGCCTGTCCTCTTTTTTTCATATGACTGTTACCCTTGGAATTAATGACCAATTCAATGAAATCTTGGATAACCGTTGAGCTGAAGATCACATCTCAGGTTGCTGATTTCATTTACCAGATCTTGTCATTCTTGGCATATGGTGGAAGCCCTATTGTGGAGATTCTGAATCAAGTTTCTTTTTGCATGCAGCGGATGGTTAAATTTGAAGTTGAGATATTGGCCAGTGGGGATGAGTTTTCTGTAGACTTTGATGGCCAGTGTCATCACTCTCCTGTTGACCAGAACATTCAGAAAGGGAATCGAATTGTCAGACTCTATTTCCATAGTGAACTGGATGGAAGGCCTTGAACTATTGAGGTTGCTGAGGAAATGGCAATTCTGTAACTGCTGTGGACCATGAGGCCAGACCACAAATGTGTCATCAAAGTACCCGAGCTGCAGCGATTGTGTAATGCCAGGTTGAGCCAACTTTTCAGAATTCTCAGTGAAGATTTTGCTAACGGTGGTTGAAAGAGTAGGTGTTTCCCCCCTCACCTTTGGATGGAAACAGATTGAGTTTCTGAAATGTTGTGTTTTCTGGTTTTTAGAAAACATGATGATGGACAGTTAGAAACCCAGTAACTGTTATGCACCATTGTCAGAACCCTTTAGAATAGTGTATAAAATATTGAAATATATTCATGTACTTGAATAATGCAACATGTGTAATTGTTGAGCCATGTGGATTTCACTGTAGTTTGTGCAACTACCCATAGGTTTTGCATAGGAAGGTAAAATGAGGATTCATAAATGTGTGACTGATGACTTGTGAACCATTTATAGATCTCTTTGAGGCAGATTGTGGTTTTACTACTTCATATACTCTTATTAATAGCTGTAACTTGGTAACTAAAATGATCTTAAAGTAAATATTGAATTGTATTAATTCTGTTATGAACTTTTTCAAATTCATATCTCTTGTGTAGGCTGACTGTTTTATTAGAAATTTAAACTAAAGCTTGGTTTTGTGCCATATTTAATAATTTTTAAGAATTTGTGTACATTATATGTTCTTGAAATAATTTTATTACATAGTTTTTATCTAACATTGTACTGAATGGAGAATTTATGTTGTGTGTATGAATGAAAGTGTGAAACGCAAAGGCAATTATTTTTTATTAGTGTTTAATATAATATATAAATATTTTGTATGTTTTGTGAAGGTGACAATGATTCTTCAGTGCCTGACAGGTTTGTGACAACCTTAACTACCACTGTTTGGAAAATTATTAGTGCAGTTATAGTTTTCATTGATTGGTGTTGACAAGAACTTTGATGATTAACAGGAACTGATAAATGTACATGAGGATTATAGGAAAAGGCATGAACAGCCTGCAGCACTCTTACTGCAAAATATCTGAAGAGTCCACTTCCAGACCCAAACAATTAACAAAGGATACATAACAGACAAGTAGCTGAAATGAAACCTGAAATTAATGTAATTAATTGCTGAAGTTATCATATTTTCTCCTGCTTTTTATAACACAGAATTTGTGTCTGAAAGTAGTAGTGCCCATAACATGATATTTCTACTTCATAGAGTGTAATTTTACGTTGTAGATTGAGGTTAGGAAAATTATTCCTGCAATGTATTTAGAAGAAGAGTTTTTTGAGAATATAAGTGCACCTGTCATTGTTTTTGTGTAATTACAATCATTTTCAATCAAACTGTGTAAATGTTTTAAGTATATGTAATTCACTAAGGCTTGATGGTGGAGTTCCACTAATTGTAATAGATTATTTTAATAATAGCCCTATGTCTTGCTTCCAATTTCCTATACAGAAATTCCGTCCATGTTTATTTAATAAGAGGGATCAGTCCATCTTGATACAAGGAAGTGAAGAAACGATAAAAATGAAAGTCTGAAGCATGTCAACATATTCCAAGTGTAGCTGGCACTCCTCCTGCTCCCAACCTGAGATTAGTGGTGGGGTGGACAGTTAAAATGACCTACTACTGTACTGTGATGTTTCCCTCTTTCTTTTTGTCCACAAGCTATTGGCAATAAATGAAATATATATTTATGAACATGCTGCCTTCTTTCTGCCACTAGGCTATGTAGGAGCTTTTGAAAAGAAGTCACCAAAGAAAATATTACTGCAGTAACAGACAGTGTGCAATGATCTTTGTTCTGCAGGCATTCTCAGCTGGTGGCCTGTATGACATTCTGTAAATGCCCTAAACTTTATTGGCATGGTCTAAGCAAACAGGAGCATCAGAGACAGCAGTGTTAGGTATACTGGACACTCTTAAGAGTCTTGTGATTTAAGGGCACATTCCTATTCGCATGA